TTGGGGATATAGAGACAAACCAGACAGACAAGTTTCCTGCATTTTTACAACTTCAACATATAGTCAAGCCATATCCTTTTGAATAATAAACTAAAGAAAATCAGAACAAGGTCCATGAAAGGGTGTTCAAGGGCCCAAACTCCTACCATCCCATTTCCTCTGTCTGTCTAGTTCTGCAAAGCCTGGCTGCCAAGCCAGCTCCCGGGAGCCCATGCCGAGCAACGTGGCACATGCATTTTATTGCTTGGTAAGCCCAGGATCTGATTTGATGAAGCCCACCGACATGTATGTTTTATTGCTCAGTAATCCCAGGATTGGATTTTTATCAGCTCGCTGCCCAATTTCCATTTACTGTATTCCAACTTCTGCTAAACTCTTTCATATGGAGTTGATGGAAAGTTTATACTTGCATGAAGCAACAATAAATTAAACTGGAAAACACCCTGCTGGGCTCTATAGGTTCTGGCTTCCTGCTGAGATCTATAGGTCCTGGACTCTATATGTGCAGGGTCCCTGCTGAGCTGTCATCAGTATAGGTGGCTGCTCCCTGCTAAGCTCTCTATGTGTCAGCTACTTCTTAACCTCTGCAAGTACGGGCTCACTGCTGAATGCCTGCTTGCCTATCGCTGCTAGCACCTCCTGTCCCATGATGTCATGGACTCCCTGATGGGTCCTGTATTTGCTGATCCATGCTAAGCTCCATAAGTTCAGCTCCCTGCTGAGATATACAGGTTCTGGCTCCTTGCTGATCTCCATAGGCATTTGCTCACTGCTTTGTTCTACAGGTGCTGACTCCCTGCTGACATATATAGGGTCTGACTCCCTGCTGAACTCTACAGGAGCCGACTCCCTGAGAGTCCTATAGAGGCTGGCTCCCTGCTGAGGTCTATAAGTTCAGACTCCCTAATGAGCTCCATAGTCACCAACTCCCTTCTGGTCTCTATTGGTGCTTACTCCCTGCTGACCTATACAGGTGCTGACTCCCTATTGAGCTCTACAGGTGTTGGCTCCCTCTTGGTCTCTGTAGATGCTAGCAGCCTGCTGGGCCCTGCAAGTGTTGCTCCCTTCTGGTCCCTATAGATGCTGGCTCCCTGCTGTGCCGTATATGTACCAGTTCACCTGACCCGCATATACGGGATCTTCCCCAGGCTGCTTGCAGCCTCACTGAACTACTGGCCCTGCTCCTGCCTTGCCTTCTTCTGACCATTTCAAGAGTCTAGAGTTCCAAGGGATTCCCTGAGTGGTTCAGGGAATCCCGCCAGGGTGTCCTGACGTAGTATTCCTTGAGTCCTGGCTCCAAAAGGCCTGCCCTGACTCTCCACTCCCTGCCGAGCTTTACTTTTTAAAAAATGCCCAGCACCTGACCTTTTCACTGTTTTATTTCTAGCACTTAAAGTACTTTCAGAGATGTAAAAGAACCCAAATACTAAGGTCATTTTCACTCAGAGACCTCTCCCAGGGATGTCTAATGTAGGGGAAATTCAAGTGGCCCTTCCGAGAGAGAAACCAAGCCCATCAATAAAGGTTTTCTCTCAGCTAATTCAGTTTCTCCCTGGGCTCAGCCAGGCCTCTGTGTCTTTCCATTCACCACTTCTGTTTGTGTCTGGTTCACAGAGGGAGTCCACTTATCTTGACTAGATCTTTCTGGGCCTTTTCTCATTTTTGTGTTTTTATTTATCATTATTATATACTTGGAGCCTGGACTCACTATGCGTCCTGATGCACAGAACAAGAACTTCACTCTTTAGAGAGGTTCTGGGGTGCAGGTGGAACTGGGGAGCCTCTGGACTTGCCTCTCAGGGTGACGGTTATGGTCAAAACGGTGTGAGAAACTGTGGGAAAGGCTGCTCTTCAGAACTGTGGTCTTGGAGAACTAATGGCACCACCATTTGGGGCCCTTTGAAACCAGCATTTTTAGAGGACTAAGAAACACAGCTGCTTCTGCGTCTTAGACCAAATGAGACAAGCTTTATTTTATTTTTGACTCATCACCTACATTAGGCTTGGTCACCACTGCATCCCTGTCTCCTGAGGTTCAGTTTAATCTAGTGTTCAAGAATATGATGCTATAACTCATTAAGCACCTACTGTGTGCGTAGTTACCTGATGAAAGGGGAAGAAAAGGAAACAGAATTCCCTCTGAAAAAAACCTCTCTGGAAGATGAACTGTCCTTGAGTAAAGATGATTCTGGGGGTGGCTTCTAGAGAGGGTTTGTGGGTGTAGTGCGGCCACCAAAACGGGTACAGCATGGTGTTCATGCCCTTGCCCTTCACCCCCTCAGCCCATCCTGCCCCTGTTCTGGAGCCACGGTTATGCCCAGATTCAGCCTCCAAGCTCTGCTTATCTTTTAACTGCATCTCTGTGTATCTGATGCTCAGCTATAAGTGATGGAAACCAAACTCCAGGTAACTAAAGCACAAAATTCTTCACACAGAGCATTGTTATTTGTCAGACATAGGTGGATCTGATCTAGGAGCTCAAACAATGCCACCTGGGCCCGTGTCCTGTATGTTATCACCTTCACTTTCAGGACAGCTTTTTTTTTCTGGGGTGAATCTGGCAGCTTCAGGTAGTTATCTCCCCAGCACAGCAACTTCCAGAGAAAGAAAACTAATGTCTATCATTCCAACAAGCTCTGGGGATTGACTCTCATGGAACCCATTTGAGTCACATGTCTCTTCCTGAACTAATCACAGGGCCAGAAGTGTGGAATACTGTGGCCAAACCTATGATGGGCTCTGACCCTGAAGCTGGAGGATGGGATCAGTCACCCCCTTGCAGGTGCATCATAGTGGATTATGAGTGGTTCTGTGGAAAAGACTCAGGAAACCCAAGGAAGGGGAGATAGATTCTAGAAGGGCAGAAAGAGTCAGTGCTAATTTTAGTGTCTCACTGTTCCACATCCCACCTTCTGTCATAGTTATTCCTATTTATCTTCCCCTCCCATTTAAAAGCTTCTTTTGGCCAGAAGCTGTTTCTGTTTCAGTCTCTCCTGCTTGACCCTTGGGAGTGCCTCTCACATGGCAGGTGCTCAGTAAATACAGTTTTAATGGAATAATATATATCCAAGCTCTTCTTTTACTTTGCTTGGTGTAATTACTTTAAGAATCCCTGTGTGGAAGCAAATGCTCATTTCAGCACTCCTTCCCAACAAATACATCTTCATGTAAAAAGCAAAACCTTCAGAGCTTGTAGAGTTCCTGGTTTTTTTTTGTTAACAAATAAAGTTGAGCAAAATTAATGAATGTGTCAAAATTTCTGAGGCTTTGATGACTCAGTCTCATTGGGTAAATGTTTCCATGGGATGAAACAGATTTATCTTTCCATTGTTCGTAACTAGAGGTCATTTAATAGATGAGGCAGGCAGAGCCTTATCTGGAGACAGAACACTGAAATGGGAAAAGCAGGACGTCTTTCCTGGGCTTCTGGGAGTTTGGGCTCAAAGATTTTAGTTAAAAGTAAGGCATCGTGTTCAAAAAGTTGTTCTAGAGATTTGGACTTGGTTTTTAATAGGCAGTCATGTTATAGGGCAGGTGAGCGACACCCAGAACCCCGAAACCTGCCCTCTCTGAATAAGTTCTGCCATCTACCACATTAAGACAAAACATACTCTAGTGCATAAAGACCTTTAGTGGAAAGGAACTTTAATACAATTAGTGTGCAATTAAGAAAAGGGAGGGCCTCCCTGATGGTGCAGGTGGTTGAGCGCAGTGCTGTGAGGCTGTCTGCAGCCTCTGCAGTGCAGGTTTAATCCTGGCCGTCTGGGAAGATACCCACATGGCACAGCAGGCCTCTCCTATCTCACCCACTGCTCCCCTCAGCAGTGTATTTTGGTCAGTCTGCCCGTTCTGTTCCCCACTCTGTCTCTGGTGAATCTCTCACCTTCCCACACATCTGGTCTTTACCCTGATTCTTGTACAAATAAATAAATCTTTTTTTTTTTTTAAAGATTTATTTATTTATTTATACAAGCACTGGGTACAGTCAGAAGCATGGGAGGGTGAGAGAATTCACCAGAGCCAGAGCAGGGAACAGAACAGGCAGAACAACGAAATACACTGCTTAGGGGAGCAGCGGGCATGGCAGGAGTTGTCTGCACACCACGTGGGACTCTCACCAGTTGCCGGGGATCGAACCAGCACTGCAGAGGATGTAAGCAGCTTCGCAGCCCAGTGCTCAACCACTGCGCCACCAGGGGAGGCCCCCAAATAATAAATCTTAAAAAAAAAAAAAGAAAAGGGAAAGAATATAGTTCCCAAATCAAGCAACTAAAGTTACCCATCCCCTCGTGGGTAAATGCCCAGCCAAACAGGAAAGAGGCAGAAACAGCCAGCCAAGCCTGGAAGGAAAAGAATAAAATCAAAATCAAGACAAAAGCTGCCATTGTTAACCTCCCTACAGGTCTCTCACCTACGTCTGTTCCAAGTGTCTCCTTCCATGTCCCCCAAGTCCCTGGTGCAAGTCCAATGCCGAGATGCAAGCGCAGCTTCTTCACATGTCCCTCTGCTCCATGCGCCTCCTCCAGGTCTCCTTCTGCCTCTGCATCCTCCTTCTCCCTCCTGTCTCCTCTGCAGCTTCTCCTCCTCCCTGCTCAGCAACACACGTCCTTGGGTGATGCAGGGGACCTGGAACCTCCCTTTCCCTGGGGACCACCCTGTTACAGTCAGATGAAAGGAGTCAGGCCAGATAAATGGATTCATTTAGTTAAAGAGAACCACAGCCATGTTTTGGAATGGTTTTTAAACTCACGTAGGGGTAACTAGATGCAATATTGTATTTAATAAGAAATAAGTATTTGTTCATTTTTATGACCTAAATATATTTCTCATACATGGTTTTCTGGTTTACAGTTCCCAAAAGCCTTGGGATTTCCTAAGTGTTAATAATGTTAAAGGTGTCTTTTGTTAATCAAGGTAACCTTTGGAAAACACCTGAGAGTGGGGGGTGGGGGAAGGAGGGAGTTGGTTGCCAGGGAAACCCGTTTGAACAGAGGGTGGGCCTTGAGGCCTGCTCCATTCCATTGCCAAAGGCCAATGTGTTAATCAATCAATGTCTAAGTAATGGAACCGCCATAAAACCCCCAAAGGAGGTTCTAGGTAGGTGGATTCGTGAATATTTGGGGAGAATGGTGTGCCTGGGGAGAGCACAGACCTCCGTGCCTTCTGCCCACTCCATGCCCTGCCCTAAACATCTCTTCCGACTTATATCCTCTGGACTAGATTGGTGGGCAGTGAGTAAGCTGGTTTCCTGTGTTCTGTGAGCCATTTTAACTGATGAATGGAACCCCAGGAGGAGGTCAAGGGAGCCCCGATTTGTAGCTGGTTGGACAGAAGCACAGGTACAGTGGGCCAGTGTCTAGGAGACTGAGCACTTCACCTGTGGGATCTGATGCTTCCTCTAGAAGGTGGTCGGAATGGAGTTGACACCTTGCCAATGTCCCTAAATTGCTTATTTTTTGTGGGGAAGCCCTTGTCAGACCCTCTTTGGAGTTGGACCCAGGAACCCAAAACACTGGACAAGCTTGCAAAACAATGCATTTCTGGCCCCACTCTTGAACTTGTGATTTATTTCTGGCCCCACTCTTGTGTGTGGAGTGGGGTGCAGAAATCTGTTCTTTTTTTTTTTTAAGATTTTTATTTATTTATACAAGAACCGGGGTACAGGCCAGATGCGTGGGAGGGTGAGAGGATTCACCAGAGACAGAGCCGGGAACAGAACAGGCAGACTGACTGAAATACACTGCTGAGGGGAGCAGCAGGAGAGAGAAGGAGAGGTCTGCTGCACCATGTGGATATCTCTGGCCAGCCGGGATCAAACCTGCACTACAGAGGCTGCACACAGCTTCACAGCGCTGCGCTCAACCCCGCTGCACCACCGGGGAGGCCAGAAATCTGTTCTTGAAAAGTGCTGGGGGGGAACCAGGCACGAGAGCCTGCGTGTTGGTGCTGCTGCTCCCCGGCTCCAGCAGTTTGTGGTGGGTCCCGGTGGAGAACGTGGAGTTGCCCAGGTGGGGTGAGAATCTCAGCCTTGTCCCTGTGGCTGAGAAGCCTTGGGTAGGAAAGACACTTAAATTCTTCAGTGCTCAGAAAAAAAATGTGGACGCACATAGTCCTGGCCTCGAAGGGCTGTGTGTGGAGAATGTGTGCACAACTCATTACAGAGCGCCCGCCAGTGCCACAGCCAGTGATTATTAACAACGGCCAGTGTGTCGTGCTGCAGACATGGGGGTCATATCTCATGTTAAACAAACTGCACCCAAAGAGAAATTAACCGTCCCACCTTAACATCAAGAATTCATAGCGTGCTTACTGTGTGCTAGACCCAGTTCTAAGGGCTGATCAACTATTAACCCATTTTATTCTTTCAACACTCCCATGAGGCCGGGGCTATTATTCCCACTGAGGAAAGTCAGGCACAGAGAAATTAAGTAACTCTTTTGCAGCTGACTTCTTCCTAGGAACCATTTGAGTGGCAAAAAAACCCCACCTCTACCAGAAAGAATGCTGTTTGATTCAGGAGAATTGGGTGGGAGCATAGTTCGTGGGGGCTTGCGATGTAAAATAGAGCCAATTTAATCGCCTGAATAAGCAGGCATCACTGGCTGGACGCTCAGTCTCTCAAATTCTTAGGTGTGACTTTTCAAAGGGGCTGATGATTCTGTGCAGTCAAAGCTGTACAGCCCCTGACATTTCAAGCTGCGTCACCCTGGGGTCTCATCACCTAAAAGGCAAGGGCCAGGCGAAGTTTTCTTTCCTTCTTCCTCAATTCCCACTTAAGACATTGCTTGCCAGGTCTTGCAAGTGCATGCCAGCTGGTCCGTGGGACTGGGCTTCTTGCCAGCGGGAGGGGGAATGAAGCTGGGTGCCTGATGCCTCCCCGCTAGTTAGAGGGGACCACTGCATCCGAGCTCCTTGCAGCCGCAATGCCCAGGTTTCCCAGCCTGCCTCACACCTACGCTGCTGCCTGCGAGAAGGCATCTGCTCCTTGGAAATCAATTACCGGGACCCATTTAATGAGCTGCTTGCCTCCCACATTAGTTCCTACCCACATGGTCCCACTGCTCTCTTGGGGCTCCACGCAGCAGGATTTGGGGAGGTGAAGCTACATACCCACCTTGAGATCAAAGGATAGCTCCTCCTCACCCACCCTCCCCGGTACAGAGAGAGAGTGTCTAAAACTCCCCCATGGTGATGCACTCCTTTGGGTTTGATGCCATCTTTGATCTGTTCTTTTCTCCCCCTTCTCTGTGACTTACTAAGTTTCTTGTAAATCTCAACAGAGGTTGCAACTCTGATGTATCTGAACACAAAATTCAAAGGTGTTTAAAGAAGAAGTCACTTTTTCTTCTTTCGCTCTTTCTGACTTTTCCTCTAAACCCTGAGAAAAGTTATGCTGGCTCTCTGTTTTATATCTTGCCCCAACTTTTCTCAAGCTCATAAAACATATACAAATATTTGTACAAACCTGGATCATATTATGTCTGCTGCTGTACAGCTTGCTTTTTTTTTTTCATGTTGCACACCAGAAATTCCTGCAGATTTATGATGAGATCAACTGATCTTTTTAAATAGCTTCATAGTATTTCACAATTTGGATTTATATCATGAAATTCAACCAAGCTCCGACTGATTGACGTTCAGGCTGTGTTCAGGCTGTGTGAAGGAGCAGGCTGCACACCTGCAACAGTGCTGCACACCTGCAACAGTGCTGTAGTAAACATACTCCTGCTTCTGTAGTCACTTTATTTCTGTAGAATAGAGTGTCCTAAATTAAGAATACTCTGTTAATGGGCACCATTTTTATTCCAGCAGCTGCCAGATCACTTCCCAAGTAAGCCAGTAAGGCTTCGAGCAGGGATGTGGGAAAGTCTGTTTCCCTGCATACACACCAGCACCAGACTTTATTTTTTTCTGCTTTTGTTAATCTGACTCATAAAGTGGTGTCTCCGTCATGCTTTGCTCTGCATTTCTCTGAGTAATAAAGAATCTTGCACATTTCATAGAGTGAATTGTATTTTGACCTTCAATAATCTTTCTTAATATGAAATTATTCTTGAGGAGCGTAATATCTTAACACCTTTGTCACCATTGCTTGTGAGCTCAGAGTGTAGCCTTCCCAGAGGAGCATGGTACCAGCAAGCAGGAACAGTTAGAGAACCACTCTCTGTTTCAAAATCCATTTGGGGCCTGAATGGTGTCAATGCCAATACCCCCGTTGTGATAGCGAGCGCTTGTTTTGTCATATGTTGGCACTGAAGTACACTCGATAAAGGGATTTCTATGTGAAACATCTCAAAACTGCATGTATCCACAGTGATCTCAAATTAAAAGCATACTTAAAATTTTTGTTAGGAGCCAGTTCTGTTTGTTTTAGTGATACTTGCCGTTACTTAAGGATATTTTTTTTTTTTTTTAAGATTTCTTTATTTATGCATACAAGGTCAGAGATGCGGGGGTGAGGATTCACCAGAAACAGAGTGGGGAACAGAACAGGCAGATTGACTGAAATACGCTGCTGAGGGGAGCAGCGGGGGAGTCAGGAGAGGTCTGCTGTGCCATGTGGGTTGTTTCCTGGCCGGCCGGGGATCGAACTCATGCTGCAGGGGCTGTGGATTGGATTGCTTCATAGTGCGGTGCTTAACCCCTTGCGCCACCAAGGAGGCCCCCTTAAAGATTATGTTTTTAACACAAAATAAGAGATGCTGTTTAAAGTCACCCCTTTTGCATAAATGCTTCTTGATACTGGCCTGTGATTTAGTTAATAGTTACCCGGTGAGGAATGTTGTTCTTATGGAGAATTCATCTGGACTTTCGTGGGTTATGGAGGGAATGTAGTTCAGAATATGACCCTTTTGTTTGAACTTTCACTTCTCAGAGTGCAGATTCTCCCTTCTCCTCAATAACTACATTATTTGGGTAGATCTTTAACATAGGCCCCACATAGCCACACTTAAGGAAAAGTCCACTCCTTGGCTAAGCATTTATACCACGCCTATTATGATCCAGACACTGAATAACAGCTGAGGGATCAGTGCCCATCAAGATGGCTCTCCTGGAACACACCATCATGTGGGAAGAATGGTAAGATACAAACTGGTTAAAAATTAAATAGGCTTATTTGAGAGAGTGATCAATTCTATGAGGAGAAGATGTGATAGATCCCTATGAAGAGGGCAGCTTGGTAATGGATCATCTAGAAAAAGATATTCTGAAGAGATGATGTTGCTCTGAGGGCTAAATTCTAGCAGTAATGAGGTCCAGTAGAGGTCTGTGGGCAGGCCTTCCTGGGCGAGGTGTAGCAGAGGTGCAGTCTTCAGATGAGCGGAGCTCAGAGGCCAAGGAGAGACCCTCGCGTGTGTGTGGGTGAAATGGAGGGTGTGCCTTGGATCCAGGTTGGACTATTGGGCAGGAAGTTGGTCATATTGGGCTTTATAGACCACCAGAGGCGATTGCATGTTTTTGGAGCCACTATGGCCAGTTGAAGAAGGTGTGCATGACGTGAGGGTGGTGATGTGTGGTTCTGAGGGAGCACAGAGGTGCATGTATAGCAGGTGGACTACAGTTGTGAAGTAGAGAAAATACAATAGATAAGATGGGGTTGTTGTGGCATTTAGGTGAGCGAGTGATTTAGCCTAGAAGTGTGGGGGAGAGATGGAGAAGAACGCACAATTCTGGTGCATATTATGGAGGAAGGATGAGCTGAAACTGCTGATCAATGAAACTGTAAACCGGTGTTACCTCAATTTAAAAAACTGTCAGTGAATTGAGTGTGAAGAGTAAGAGAAGAGAGTTGAAGGGGACTTGGGAGGTTTGGGTTGGAATTAACCTGGAGGTGTGGAGACTGAACAAAGAATTAGACACTCTCTTCTTAGATATCTGCAATGCTTGTTTGGATCTGGTGAACCTGAGTTTCAAGTCCAGCTTTCAGCTCCTTTTGGGGAGAACTTTGCACAAGTCAGCTTCTCTGAACAGACTAAAGGAGTTGATGAAAGTGAAGTGGCCACCATGTTCCCGCACAGTAAGCACGTAGTCACCGTGCAGTCAGCAGTGCCAGGTATTTATTTTCCCTGTTGGTTTGCCACCACTTTTCTTTAGAAGTCAGAGTAAAAACCAGATGAAAAGTCTACTTTTGAGGGTGAGTTGGACCGACTCTGCATTTACTCAAAATTTATTTTATGTTATTTGTTCAATCAGAGAAGAATACCGTTGTCCGTGAGCTTATTCCAAAGTCAACAGCACTGCCTTTTCACTCAGGTGGCAGCTGAAAGACTCCTCGCCATCCTGAACACATGCACGCGGAATTTTAAAGACACAGTCCCTTCTCTTTATTCTCAAAAGATGCCATCTTGAGGGAGTTCACCTTTTGGGATATCACCAGTCCTGATACAGCATTTAGTTATTGACACCAGCAATTTGATTTCTGCAAATAAATTTCAGAACCCTCTTTTAATGACTATGTGCCTGTGTAAATATCCTCCTGGGACACAGGGCTGTGTCTGGATCTCCACGCTCAGAGGCTGAGCAGGTTTGCTGCTGGAAAATTACCCACTGAGGAGCCAGGGCTCAGCGCTCCCCCCACAGTTAATGGAGAGAGGCCCTCATCTGGCACCAAGAGCTCAGCGTTTGGACCAGTGAAATGTGGGAGAGATGAAGCAATATCTTCAGAGAGATTCCAGCTGTGTCCTCCATTCACTTATTTACCCAACAAGCACATCAGTGACGAATGTATATTGAGTCTTCTGCTCAGTGCTAGGGACACGAGGGATGGTGGTAGCAGAAGCAGTGGTGGTAGCAGTAAAAATAGCTGCTACTTTTTTTTTTTTAATTGAGCACCTACGAGTATTAGACACTTTGCCAGGGACTTCATGGCTCTCGGCTCAGTATCTGAAAACAATTTTATTGTTGTTGCCACCGCTCATTTCTGCTGGGAATGTTTCTCACCTGGGCATATTGTTTTTCTCAACGCGGGAGAGGGGAGAAATGAAGAATCCAAGATGGACCTCTTCATTGGATGATGGGATGAACAGAGAAGCCACAGGTGAGAGATTTGGGGATGTCAACCCCTATTCCCTGGAAGGGTAAGAAAGCGTGAATCACGGCTAATATACAGAGAGAGCAGACACCATCTCTTTGTTGCAGAGACATCTTAGCCACTGCATGTTCTGGGCCCCTCACAGGTCTTGGGGCAACCATTCTGTTCAGCAGCTGCTCTTCCCTTGCTTATTCTGAATCTTGAAACTTCTGTTCAGTCTCTGTGATGTGTTTGTCCTCACTTCTATTTCCTCTGCATTTTTCTTTCCCAAATTTGAGTTACCTGCTCTCACCTGCTCACCTACTCTATTTTCTCATCTCTAGCTAATTAAACTGTCTTTGTCCTTCTTTTCTGGGGTACAGTACAGGATGTGGAAAAGCCCTTCCGTGTACACCACCTTGCTGATCCCACAGCAGGTTCAGCCACCCGCTCACCTTCTGCACCCCTTGTCCCACTTTGCAGGTGAGGACATCGAGGCTGTGGGAAACCCAGCCCCTTATTCAAAGTCACACCGTTGGAAGTAGGGGTCCGGGATTGAACCAAGGTCTGTCGGAATCTAAAGCCTGTGCTCTTAATAATGAAGAAAGCTTCTCTCTGCGTGAACAATTTTATTGATTTTTCTACAAGATATGCTCGCTCCTTCCTCTAAGTCTCTCCATAGCATTCAGCACATGTGGCAGGAAAATATTGATGAGAAATTAGCCACTGGTTCCCTGCTTATTTGTCTTCTGTCCTCCTTACTTCTCAAAATTAAAGGAGAGAGAGAGAGAGAGAGAGAGAGAGAGAGAGAGAGAGAGAGAGAGAGAGAGAGAGAACGTGCGCACACTGTGGTTGATTCTGCAGAATGGCTGTGAACAGAAATAAGCCAGTGGTCCACTGGTTCTGGCTCAAGTGCTCACAAAGCCGAGGCTGTTTGGGGCACCAGGACTTAGCAGATGGTGAACAGGGTTGCCCCTGGGCTGGGACAGGAGAGACGAGCACAGAGAACAGAGCGGCCTACGCACCTTGTTCTCAGTAGAGCACCCGCTGGGGAGGCAGGAGACCTCAGGAAGGCCTGGGGGTTTTTCTTGGCAGTCAGGACCAGAGACAGCCTTTTCGCGATCCCATTGCTGCTCAGGACACAGTCATAACAAAAAGAGAGCCACTGGGCATGACAGGGGGGTGTGAGGTTTCTCAGCAGCAGCCTCTGAGTACTGACAGCTGAGCTTGGCCCACAAGCTCTGATGAAGCACTGAAGACCCCCGGCCGCATGGTGGAGAATCTCAAGCAGCCAGGTGCCGGCCCTCAGTCCAGGCCGTGACATCCAGATCTTAGATGCAGCTCAGGAGCAAGACGGAGATTCCACCACTTGGGAAGAATGGGAACCCTAAAGAGAAATTCAGGTGAGTTGGTCAGAAAAGGATTCTAGTTCTTTGGAACCAAGTTTGAGGGCAGGAGGGGGCCCGTCACTGGCCTGGCCGAGGCTCCGCTGTCTTGCTCTGGCCCGTGTCCTGCCAAGCTCAGGGGTCTGCTCTGCAGTTCTTCTGGGCCCTCCCTCTTGGGCCTGAGGGCTTTGGAAAACAACTCAGAGTCCCCCAGAGCACGCCTCTGGGCCTTGCTCCTGGGCATCGCACAGACCTCCCTGCTTCCCCAGGGAAGCTGGGGCCTCCCTCGGTGCCCTTGCATAATTGGGAGGATGCGCAGAGAAATTAAAAAGGTCATTAATCACCGAGGCGCCTCGGCAGCTCTCTGGGGCCTATTCTTCATGATGATTAATGGCGGTTGGCTCCTCCCCGCTCCCCAATTCATTTTCCTGCTGCTTTCACTCACTTTCCCTTGCCGCATCCTCTCCATCCCTGTCTGAAGTAACTGGGGTTCCCAGGGGCCACTGGCCCAGGGTCAGGTCTTCCCTGGCTGCCTTTGCTGTCACCAGGCCTGCAAGGGCTCAGACAGGAGCACCCCACGCTAACCAGTGACCCCGGGAAAGTCACCTCATCTGTGGGAAGCTCAACTTCCTCATCGGTATAATGGGGTGAGCACAGCGCTTGCCTCACAGGTCGTGAAGAGGAAACGAGAAGATGAAGTGGGCAGGGCCACCTGCACGCCAGGACCAGAGCGAGGCTGCCCAGGCAGCTCTGCCATGACAGTCACGTGATGCTTCACTGTGGAGAGTGTCTGAGAAATGCCCACGGGCGTGGCAGGCAGCTCTACCCCGGGGCACATGATATTCTCCGGAGGGACCACCCTGTTTAGGCGCCCACAGTCGGCCGAAACTTCTTAGAGACACACAACTATATTGTTTTTGCCCTTCAGAGCCCTTGCTGTCCCTGGCCTCTGGGAAGGCTGGAGACAGGCCACGAGCGTCTCCTGCTCTGCAACAGCCAGGCTGGTGATGCTCACAGGTGCTAGTGGCCCCACCTTACGAGCCACCACCTTGAGTGTACCTGGGACAGCCCCGACTAACAGAAAGAAAACATGTCCAGAGAGGGAGAGTAACCTGCTCCATGTCATACAGCTCTTGAAGGGTGGAAGAGGGATTCAAACCCGCTTCCACGCCACGCGGGAGCCTGTGCTTGCTGGGACTGGAAGAGCCGCGCACACCAGCTGTCTTTCCTAGGAGGGAGAGCAGCCAGGCACCCCTTCCTGTCTCCCCTTTCCTGGCCTCCGAGGGGGCTGCCTTCCCCCGGCAGGGCGAGCCAGTCCAGGTCACGCTTCAGCAGCCTCCTCTCTGCCTCTTGTTTGCCAATTAGCTCCCGTCGCTGGCTGCGGCTTAAGATAAGCAGCTTCTTGTGCCCACTGAAGCATCGAGCCCAGGGTCTCGCTCTGACCAGCCCCCAATCAGGAGGTGCTTGATTTTCCTGGAGATAACTATATCCTGGGGGATTCGAGTGAATTCGTGAGGAGAGAGCAGATCCTGTGGGCTTGGAGCTTGGAGAGGTGCTTCTCTGAGCCGGGCCGGAACGGAGGGACTCTGCCGGTCAAATGCAGCATCCTGGAGACGGGGGCGATGTTGGGGGACCCAGATGGGATCCTGGTTCTGTTTTTGACTCACTGGGTGACTTTGGGGGACTCATCACCTCCAGGCCATTTTCTTAATAAAATTAGAGGGTGAATATAGATTCTGAGCATTTACGGGGGAGATGAGGGAGGAGAGAAAAGGAGGCACAGGAAGAAAAGGAGGAACAGAGGGAAGGAGGGACGGACAGATCAGGAGAGGGGCGACTTGCTGCCACCCCTGGCTGCTCCAGGACACCCTTGGCAGGAGGGGCCGGGGCTCTGAGGCGGCGCAGAGGGTTCTGGGCCTCTCGGGAGTCTTAGCGGCTGGCTGTGTAACAGGAGGATGAAAACACTGCACTGATCACAAAGCTATCAGTGGCAAGAATAAGGCTAACAGGGGTCATTTAGAAAGCAGCGATGATGCGCCAGCCAGTCTGTGCCATAACCCTATGGAGTGGCTACTAACTAGCACCTCCACATCACAGATAAAACTGCTAAGGTACCGAGGTAGGTATGTATCCCAGAACACACAGGAAGTGGCTGGCAGAGCTGGGCCTTGGACCCATGTTGTTCTGACTCTGGAGCCAAGGTTCTTGGGACTATGCCAGGGTGAGAGTCGTCATCCAGGGCAGTCCTAGAGCTGTGGGCACAGGGGGTTTCTCCATAGCCACAGCCTTCTTCCTCAGTTTACCTACTTGGAACATCTGCCCACCTGCTACGTAATGTTGCCGAGCTCAGTGCAAAATGAAAGTGCAGGGCCCCTCATTTAAAAGTTATTCAACACTTAAGATAATGACAGCAGAACACTTCAGCAGGCTCAAGAGCCTCTGCAGTGTGGGGTTCCTTCCCAGGCTGCAGGAAGCCTGTCCATGGAGTTCCACAATACTTCCCTTGCCCTAAGGAGTCTCCCTAGCTGCCCCCACTGGAAGCCTCTTCCCCAAAGGCAGGTCTTGTTCCATGCTCCCTTGGTTGCTCTCTGAGTCTCCTAGGAATTGAGTGGCTCTATCCTTACCCCCCTTAACGGTGCCCACACCTCTGAGCTGGGTTGGTCGCCATGAACTCATCTTGGTTTTTGCCAGAGGCAGAAACAAGGCTCTCCGGTGTCTCCTGCTGCATGGGCCCCTGGAATGCATCCTCTCTCTTCATGCCCATGACCCGCCCTGGGGCTTGGGGCTAAAGAGGCTTGGCCCTGCCTGGACAAAGCCTTGAGCATTCATTCCTGACCTACCAGGAAGAAATGTTTCAGAATACGAGCCAGTGCTAAAGGCCTCTTCTAATTAGCTGACTTGTGGCTAACGAGGGATTTCACCGGGCAGAGCCTTCTGGTGGTTGGTGTGTAATCACCATGGAAACCTTCACGCCATACTCAGCTGCTTCCCCAGCCGCTTCCCGGGGGAGCAGACATAGCTCTGCAGAAGCAGCATCATCTGGGCAATCGACATTGTTTGTGAGAGAAATAAATGGACAATTAGAAGCAAGACAGGTGGAATCCTTGTTGGAGCAAAGTTTTCCCTACATCCATCCTGGGGCCTAATTGATGCTGTTGTCCTCATGTGAGAGGAAATCATTGGAAGGTGATGAATTCGCTTTGGATGGATCCCCTCTTGCTAAACTCAAGGACAGGGAAAAATGCCTAATTAGGAATCAGACTTCTGCTTTTTACAGGCAGCTGCTGGTTTTGTAGGAGATATGAAGACCTTTATTCTTCATTTTTATGCACAAATATTTATTTCTCACTGGAGTGAGACCTCACCATCACTCTACAAGGACCCAAAATTTAACTTTGTAAAATACGGGGTTATTTTTGTGATGTTATTAAATGAGAACAAGGGTTGGGTGAAGCTGAGAGCTGTGCTAGACAGGATAGGCTAGGCTTTACTGGAGAAACTAATCCCAACATTTCAGCTGGTTTGACACAATGAAGGTCATTGAAAGGGTGATGCTAAGTTCAGCAGTGGTCGGGCAGATTTTTAAATAAACATTTGTTGAAGGGATAGTGCTTTGTGAACTGATGTAGGTTTCAGGTATAAAGCTTGTAAATCAGCATCTGTAATACACTATCTTGTGTTCACCAGAATTTTAGTTTTTATTGATCTCCATACCGTTGAATCCTTTTACCCAATCCACCTAGCCGTTCTTCCCCTGCCCTCTGAAGTTTGGCTTTATTTTAATTAGTTCACTTGTGTGTTTTATCATATATGAGTGAAATCTTATGGTGTTTGTCTGAGAATTCTCCATCTGACTTACTTCTCTAGCTCCACCCAGGTTGCAAATGACAAGATTTCATCTTTTTTATAGCTGAGTAGTATTCCATTGTGCACATAGAGCACATCTTCAGTCACTCATCTGTCAATGGTTTTTTTCAAACTGGTAGTAGAATAAAAAGATACACACAGATCATGGACCAGAATTGACAAATATTTTGTCAGGATGGACAACTAATTTATGACAAAATACTGTAAAATGGTGTAAGGAGAATATCTTCAATAAATGGTGTTGGAAAAACTGGACTGCTACATGTGAAAGAATGAGTCTAGGTCATTATCTTACACCAGATGCCAAAATTAACTCAAAATGACAGTTTTTCATTTCCCATGACTATGTTATGTGGGACATGGTCAGGTTGCAACCGGAGAGGAAGGATGGAGATACAGTAGCATGTCTTCTTAGTGGCCCTAAGCCAGAAGAGGTACATTTCATTTCTCTGCAAAGTTCATTGACCATATAGCCCCAACCTAACTA